GTGTACACCTGTACCTAAATAAACTTATACACTGTGCTGGCATGTAGGTACACATTAAAATCACTAAGTCTCTCTACTCTTGATGCAATAATAATAATAATAATAATCTCTTGGGCGCATTAATGTCGCATATTACGTTAATATAGACATTTCCCTTAATCTATGATAGTTTTTTAAAAATTATATAAGAAACACATTATGTAACACACAAACATGATACACGCACCCACAGTATAAAAATTTATACAAATATATATGAGATGTTTACCAAACGGTTTGTAGAAGTGTTGGAAGAATTACGTTTTCTCTAGCCCGTCACCTGTTACTAGGGATAACTGTAGAAAAATATTCCTTTCGTATGCCTTCACTTTATAGCTATAATTCTGTACTAACTTGTACACAGTGTAAGAGTATTTGTTTCGTGATTTAATTATTATAATAATAATAAAAATATTATAAGGTAAAAGTTTCACAAACTCTTACAAATGTACATGAATGAACTAAAACTGGACACGTATTAATACCGTCTATTTCGCCTGACCAAGTGATCGTCCACAACCTGTTCAGTTTTTGTTTACGCTGTCTGAGCTCGGTGTATCATTAAATGTTGTATATTACATTAATATACACATTTTCATTAATCCATCCGTGATATTTTTTCAAAATTATATAATAAACACGATACATAGCATAAATATACTATAACATATGTGTAGAGAACCTAGGATAACCAAAAAAGTCAGTGACTTACTTCCATTGCTTCACTCAGAGCATTCATTTCTTCTCAAAATGATGTTACATGAGAATGGGAGTGTTTTCTTTATTTATTCTACCGTATCAATGTAGAGACAACCTGTACACAATGTAACTTGTACACAAACAGACGTTGTACACTGTTTACAATATTACCTTCGCCTGGTTTGTTTACATTAATCTGCGCCTGTCCTCTCTCATGCACTCATTCTTTCTCTCTGGTATGGTAGCCTGGCTGACTACCATACATACCACACTTGATTTTTTACAATAAATAACTACTTGTCTCACCCTAGATTAAGACTATAATATATTTTAAGGTAAGTAATGAGTGCACTATGTGTGTATTGTACTTTTTTATTGTTTTTTGATGCCTGGTTCTATTGCTAACTTAATATATGTTAGTGTAAACTTGTTATCTAGTGTTTGTATGCATTTGTAAGTGGGAAAAAAAGGGTGTTCCACTTTACGGCGGTTTCCGCTTTACGGCGGTAGCCTGGAACCTAACCCGCCGTATAAATGGGGCCCTCCTGTATGTATGATATATATATATATATACATATATATACATATACATACACATACATACACAGTGGTCCCTCGTTCGTAATTAATCCGTTCCTGGAGCCGTTACTATAACCGAAATTTACGATTTACGAATCAATTTTCCCCATAAGAAATAATGTAAATACAATTAATCCGTTCCTGACACCCAGAAGTATTAAAACAAAAAAATTTTTTACATGAAATATACATGTAGTACATAAACAATACAATGGGAAATGATGAATGAAACATTAACAGCATAACACTTACCTTTACTGGAGATTCTTCTTAGTGTATGGGAGACTGGAGGAGGAGAGAGAGTGGATTGTTTAGAGTTTGGAAGGGGAATCCCCTTCCATCAACACCTCAGGCACCATTTGCTTTTCTGGGGTTGCTTCTCTTCTCTGTTTCTTAATGCCACTAGGACCACCTTGAGAGTCACTGGAGTCCTGTCTCGCAAAATAACTGTGGAGAGAGCTCTGTTTCTGGCGTCTCTTTAACACTTCCCTAAAATGGCCCAAGACTTTGTCACTGTACATGTTGCCAACCTGGCTTGCAACAACCTTGTTAGGGTGATGTTTCTCCATAAAGCTTTCCATCTTACCACCACAAGTAAAAATCTCTTTAATTTCTGAGAAGGCACCTTCCTTCCATCTCTCTTCCTCCTCTCAGCAATAGATTCTGAGCTGCGATGTGTGCTCTTCTGCTGAAGCTCTTGCAGCTCCTCAGTGGTGAACTCTTCATTGTGTCTTCACCAATTCTTCCACATCCTCCAAACTCACGTCCAACCCATGGAACTCCCCAGTGCCACAATGATTTTACAACAGACATAGGCTCTTAGGGTCGTCCCAATTCTTCAAAATCTCTCTGTCGACACAATCTGGCCACAATTTTCTCCAGGCAGAGTTCAAAGTCCCGGTAGTCACTCCCTCCCAAGCCATTACCTATAAGGGTTATGCAGTGGGGATGCTGAAGTGTTTCTCTCCAAATTCCCTTAGGGTCAAGTGAGTGTCTGTGGTCACAGTCAAGCACCTGTGAAACATTGCTTTTGTGTAGATTTTTTTAAAGTTTGCAATAACCTGCTGGTCCATGGGTTGGAGGAGAGGAGTGGTATTCGGGGGCAAGAACTTTACTGTGATGAACCCAAACTCCTCGAAAATTAGGTCATCCAAGTTTGGAGGATGAGCAGGTGCATTGTCCATTACTTGAGATCCAATTTCTTTTCCAGGAGATACTCCTTCACACTAGGGCCAAACACTTCATTGAACCACTCGACGAAAATTTCCCTCGTGACCCATGCCTTACTATTAGATTTCCAAAACACACACAATTTACTCTTCATAACATTGTTTTTCCTGAACACTCTGGGATTTTCAGAATGGTACACTAGTAATGGCTTCACTTTGAAATCCCCACTAGCATTAGCACAGAATATTAGTGTCAGCCTGTCTTTCATAGGCTTGTGTCCTGGCATTGCCTTTTCCTCTTGTGTAATGAAGGTCCTCTTTGGCATTTTCTTCCATAGAGGCCTGTTTCGTCACAATTGAACACTTGTTCGGGTTTCAGTCCTTCAGCCTCTATGTACTCCTGGAATTCATGCACATATTTTTCAGGTTGGAGAGAGGGGGTAAAGGAGGTTTTGTGTGCGAGGGGCTTGGACTTCCAGCAGGTATGCATGAGCGTGTTTGATAGGAGTGAATGGAGACAAATGGTTTTTAATACTTGACGTGCTGTTGGAGTGTGAGCAAAGTAACATTTATGAAGGGGTTCAGGGAAACCGGCAGGCCGGACTTGAGTCCTGGAGATGGGAAGTACAGTGCCTGCACTCTGAAGGAGGGGTGTTAATGTTGCAGTTTAAAAACTGTAGTGTAAAGCACCCTTCTGGCAAGACAGTGATGGAGTGAATGATGGTGAAAGTTTTTCTTTTTCGGGCCACCCTGCCTTGGTGGGAATCGGCCAGTGTGATAATAAAAGAAAAAATATTTTTCAGCCGTCTTGTGATCCGAACTGGCAGCCTCACCATGCCTTACCACACTGTGTATGCCAGTACGGTTCTTAAATCTCTCAAACCAGCCTTTGCTGGCCTTAAATTCACTCACTTCACCACTATTTGCAGGCAATTTCTTTACCAAATCTTCATGCAACTGCCTAGCCTTTTCACAAATAAACGAAGTCATAAGAGTATCTCCTGCTAATTGTTTCTCATTTATCCACACCAATAATAACTTCTCAACCTCTTCCAGTACTGGTGATCTCATTTTTGTCAGCATAGTTACTCCCTTTGCAACAACAGCATCCTTTGTTTCATTTTTCTTGGCCACTATGGAACATAAGGTTGTGTAGGGTTTCTTGTACATCCTGGACAGTTCGGCCACACTTGTACGACTTTCATATTGTTCAATGATGGTTTTCTTAAATTCAATCGTATTTCTCACCTTCTTTACCAGAGGCTTGGCACTAGGAGCTTTCTTTGGAGCCATGGTAGCTTATTTAGTACTTGCAAGCACTAAAATAAATGGAATATTATGAAATATTTCACTGGAGCACGTGAGGGGACCTTCGCTCACTGGTAAACAATGCCAGACTGGCTGCCGCCCTGGCTCACGCCGTGGGTACGCGTCCTGGACGAACTATGACTCGCGAGTCAACCTATGAAAAGCGAGTCCATGTTTATACGAAAATACCTCTATGATTGGCGAATTTTACAATTGCCGGGAACTACGAAAAGCGGGGGACCACTGTATATATATAATTTTTTTTTTTCTCCAACACGTCAGCCATCTCCCACCGAGGCAGGGTGACCCAAAAAACAAAGAAAATCCCCAAAAAGAAAATACTTTAATCATTCAACACTTTCACCTCACTCACACAATCACTATTTTTGCAGAGGTGCTCAGAACACAACAGTTTAGAAGCATATACGTATAAAGATACACAACATATCCCTCCAAACTGTCAATATCCCAAACCCCTCTTTTAGAGTGCAGGCATTGTACTTCCCATTTCCAGGACTCTAGTCCGGGAAGTGCAACAGAATTCTTCCTCCGTAAGCCATGCGTGTCGTAAGAGGCGACTAAAATGCCGGGAGCAAGGGGCTAGTAACCCCTTCTCCTGTATACATTACTAAAGTCAAAAAGAGAAACTTTCGTTTTTCCATTTTGGGCCACCCCGCCTCGGTGGGATACGGCTGGTGTGTTGAAAGAAAGAAATTTATATAATATATACATTGGTACCCCAAGTTTCATACAGCTCCCAACTCAGTTATGTAAGTGTATTATTTTAAACGCTTTTGCAAGTGTATTTTTGGGGGTCTGAAACAGACTAATCTAATTTACATTATTCCTTATGGGAACAAATTCGTCCAGTATCGGCACTCAAACAGCCGTCTGGAACAAATTATGGCCGAAACTCGGGGTACCACTGTATATACAAACATGTATAATGTGTATATAATAAGCAGAAACAAACTTGGATACTTCTATAATGTGTATAGTCTTATTGCACATGATGTAGCAGTTGGAAATATGATAGTTGCTAGCAGCTGCAGCACTTCCTTCATTGACTTTCATTTAATCTCGCATTGCAAGCACCTGACAAAGGTCCACAGCATGACAGGCCTTGCCCTACACCTCATTTCTTGCTATCTAACAGCCACTTCTATGTCTGTCTCTAATGAAAACCATTCTGTCTTGTCACAACAGAGCACAGACAGCCACAGACAAGATCTATGCACTGATTTGTGAGGTGGCAGGAGAATCACACATGGTGAAGCTAGCAGATGTTGTGGAGCGGTGTACTAGCAAGGGCTACAAGCCAGACCAGGTTAGTAGTCTCTGATAATAGTACTATCTTCGTCTTAACTACTGTGTGAATTATTTGCGACTATCTTTACTACTCGTATGTTACTATCGTCTAGTATGCTACCATTTCTAGTATGGTAGTCATCTACTAGTATAGTACTATCATGAAGTATTATGTTATTATCTACTAACACTACATGTTGACAGGTAACAGAGTGTATAGAAGAGTACGAGGAACTGAACGTCTGGCAACTGAACCAAGCTAGGACTAAACTCACCTTTGTATGATACACTACTACTGTTGCTATTACTACTACTACTGCTACAATGGCTACTGCTACTACAACTATAACTACTACAATTACTATTATACAAAATTCTGTGTAAAGTTAGTCTGATTACTAGCCTAACTTACCACTAAGGTGAATAAACAAGAGAATGGTTGACTGACTGTTTGTATGTGTTTCTTCTGTGTGTAACACTGCCTTAGTAAGTGAAACTAAGACAGTGGTTGACTGACTGATGGTTGATGTTTCTTCTAAGCAATGGTCCTTGAAATAGAAGAGTTTTAAACCATTGTATTAAAGTTTTATATGTATTTTGTACTATTTTTGAAGGGATAGTCTTTGAAATAGTTACTATCCTGGTGTTCAATAAAGAATAAGTCTTTATTGTTATTTGTAAGACTATCCACAGTAACAGTTTAATTTTGTGTAAACAAAATGTGCACTGATACTGATGTGCTATATACACCATACACCCTGTATCTGTGAGACAGGAGGTAGTTTCACACAGCCACGCTGGTGGGCGATTCTTGTGTAAGAACTTGGTACCTAGGTGGTGGTGGTTGAACCTAATTGGTACCTAGGTTTTTGCTAGAGATGTGGTGCAGCCATAGTTGTACACAAAGAACTAGGGGATGAGGTGAAACAAATTTTTTAATTTGCAAAGCACTTGAGACTACAAAAATTGATATAGGCCTTGATGCAATATAGATAATTGCAATGAGAATTACATACAGTTCAGCTGTAAAAATGTTAAGTCTAATAAATGCCCTCGTACTACACTGAGAACACTGCTGCAAACTCGACACCGTCGGAGGATTTAGAACTATTAGTGTACACTGTGATGGCATGAGAATGAGACTGGAAGTGATTAAGAACAAAAGAGTGAAAAGCAACTGTAGGGATTTGAGCTTTCACACATGGCAGTGGGGAAGAACAGACAGAAACTGATGGAACCTCCCAAGGGGGAAGGGAAAAATTAGATGCTAGACAAACACATAAAATGGACAGCTGAAGAGAAGACAAGAGTGAGCAAAGATGAAGAGAAGGACAATAAATGGGTGGCGAAAAAATGCTGGACCTCTACTAACGTCTGTTCAGCTGGCTATGGCAAGTTGCTGTCAGTGAGGAGACTGACCTTAAAATGATTATGGCAAAGTGGTATTATCTACACACCTTTCATAGAACAGGCTTACACTTGTTATAACCTGATGCATTACCACACGGAGCAAGGTGAAGCGATACTTTGCTGCCTTGAAGCCCGGTGCACTTTTACTGATTGATGTAAGTTCTTGTTGGTATTTTCTTCCAAACTCTAGTGCCATCAGCATTAAACACTTGCTGTGGCTCGTAGACACTTGGAAATAATTTCCTGCAATACAGCAAGGAAATTATTTGCTGCTTTATATTATGTTACTTATGTTGGTAATGGTGTAAAATACCAACAAGTTGAAGATTAAGACATGTGCAACAGTTGGGTATCTTGATGAAATGTATCACCTATACAGTAGGCTTCTTCAGTCAAATACAGAGGCAGCAGGTGTAGTAGTGAAAGATGATGTAATCAGTCCATCAACCTTGGAGAAATAGTATTTGAGGTGATCAGTTCCTCAGCCTGGAGAAGTTTAGCTTCATAGTCCGGAATAATATCGTGTCTTATAGTCCTGAACCTATTACGTAACTTGAAGTTGTGGAACCAGCCTGTGCTAAACACGCTTATTCAGGCCTTCCTTCTCATCACGCACTTGTACAACTTTAAGGCTTTGTCCCTAATTAAGGTGAAATTAAGTGGTGGTTGTGATCTGTGTCATTCTTTTCAGATGACAATCCGGGTTATTCATCATGCAAGCCCATATACTACCTCGTTCTTTTTAATTCTACGAACCGACACATCATTAAGGCCATAAACTCTAGCCGTGTCCACCACACGTGAACCACTTTTAGGCTTGTCTTGTGTCTTCATTTTCTTCGTAACTCGAAGACTTAACTTTTTCTTGCCGCTTCCAGCATCACTTGCATACCTCCTGGGTGCCATAGTTGCTTGGCAAATGCATGATATGGCAATGAAAAGGTCAAAATCTGATTCGCACAGATCTGCGAGTCGTACGGGATGTGTACATATGGAACACTAAGACAGGTGGCAGGGAAGGAAGGTAGGCCTACCCTGCAAAAACTATGGACTGACAGACAGGTAGGCTGTCTGAGAGCCCACAGAGACAATAGACTTACAAAGCAGTGTATGACCCCTGTGGATTTACCACTTCCTTGTGATTATAATAATTATATAGAGGAATTTTATAAGAACTGACTGTATATAGTGGAACTTTAAAAAGCTGGTTAGATTATAATAAATACAAACACCAAGAAATAGAAATTTATTGATATAAATTCATACACACTTGTGTGATACATTTCATACAATTCTTAAAAACTGTATATTATACAAGAACTCTGAGTGGGTGTATATACACTGAGAGGTGTATATATGTACAAGGTAATGTATCTCAATATATACACACGTGTATACATGTGTATATGTAACAAGGGGTATATCTCTATATACACCAAGGGAATGTATCTCTCAGGATATATACACTGAGAGGCGTATATCTCAGTGTATATACATTGGTAATTTACATTAATCACTATTTTAGGTATTAAGGTATTCTTGACTGGTGTAGTAGATAGACTTTAAACCCCATTAACCAGTCTTAATGACCCTTTAGTAGAAAGGCAATCAAGTTCCAGATGGTGCATTATCTACTAAAACAAGTTCCAGATAGTGTACCATCACCTCAAGTTGTACCGTGAAACATCAAGTTGGTGGCTGCCGTTAGTAGCTACTTGAAGGAGAACTTAAGTATGTATCTAATACAAGCTTGACTCTCCTTGTACACTAAGTATTCACTCTGGAAGAAGCCACTCTGGGTCCACTCTGGCTGTGGTACAGGCCGACCCACAGGCACCACCACCTCCTTACCATCGAATATTACTGTCTTGTTCTTCTTGGGATCTGTTGATCAACACAGACCAAGTTAGTTTCATAATAATAAGGTAGATAGGTTTGGCATTTACAGTGGAACAAGGTTTTAGGAAATGATGTACCATTATATAGTCAGTTCTTTTACAAAGTTCCACTATATACAGTCAGTTCTCTTAAAGTTCCACAATATAGTGTGATATTCCACTATGAGAACTGACTGTATATGTGGAAAATACTTGATATTTTCCTGAAATACAGTATATGTAAATTGATGACCTATATTGTATTTAATAAAAATTGTTATAAAAAATGGGAAGCAGCACCTGCGCAGACGAGACTCGTCATGTTTGAATTGAGTCAACACAAACGTTAGTGAAGAATCGGAAGAATTTTCGTGCTCTAGAGGTTATATTGGGCTTAAAACCTCTCAAATAGGAGCCGAAATTGTTGGATGTGCATTCCTGCATAATTTGAGTATCAGGCGACAGGACAGGACAACTCCAGGAACCTCAGATAAGCTGTCTAATTTATGTAAAATTTTCATAAATGTAGGCAAAAGGGGGGCCCTGTACATGACACGTTAATCTCCAGTCAAATTGGCGAGTGTTATGATTAAAATATATTTTCCTTCTGTTATATAAATGTGTGTATATAAATTGTGTGATTATATATTTTTTTTTTTTTTTATTATCACACTGGCCGATTCCCACCAAGGCAGGGTGGCCCGAAAAAGAAAAACTTTCACCATCATTCACTCCATCACTGTCTTGCCAGAAGGGTGCTTTACACTACAGTTTTTAAACTGCAACATTAACACCCCTCCTTCAGAGTGCAGGCACTGTACTTCCCATCTCCAGGACTCAAGTCCGGCCTGCCGGTTTCCCTGAATCCCTTCATAAATGTTACTTTGCTCACACTCCAACAGCACGTCAAGTATTAAAAACCATTTGTCTCCATTCACTCCTATCAAACACGCTCACGCATGCCTGCCCGGAAGTCCAAGCCCCTCGCACACAAAACCTCCTTTACCCCCTCCCTCCAACCCTTCCTAGGCCGACCCCTACCCCGCCTTCCTTCCACTACAGGGCTGATACACTCTTGAAGTCATTCTGTTTCGCTCCATTCTCTCTACATGTCCGAACCACCTCAACAACCCTTCCTCAGCCCTCTGGACAACAGTTTTGGTAATCCCGCACCTCCTCCTAACTTCCAAACTACGAATTTTCTGCATTATATTCACACCACACATTGCCCTCAGACATGACATCTCCACTGCCTCCAGCCTTCTCCTCGCTGCAACATTCATCACCCACGCTTCACACCCATATAAGAGCGTTGGTAAAACTATACTCTCATACATTCCCCTCTTTGCCTCCAAGGACAAAGTTCTTTGTCTCCACAGACTCCTAAGTGCACCACTCACTCTTTTTCCCTCATCAATTCTATGATTCACCTCATCTTTCATAGACCCATCCGCTGACACGTCCACTCCCAAATATCTGAATACGTTCACCTCCTCCATACTCTCTCCCTCCAATCTGATATTCAATCTTTCATCATCTAATCTTTTTGTTATCCTCATATATATATATCCTCATATATATTAATTTTAATATACAGTCCACAAACTTATATATTTACCAGAATTCCTGGTGTATGTATATTTCATTTGTAATTATAGGTCTAGAGCAACTTGTGGATATGAAAGTAGTAGGTATCGAAGGGGGACATTTTTGTGACCTAGGTGTCCCAAATTCCTAATTGTCTATAACTTTGATAAATAATAATTATCTTTGTTATTTACTGGTATGTACATTATGAGTTACATCCAGATAAATGTAATTTTCCACAGTATATATCCACAAGAGGGGTTTTATAAGAACATAAGTGGTGGAACTGCAGCAAGCCTACTAGCCCAGACTAGGTAGGTCCTCCTCAAAGCCAACCCATATACTGGACCAGCTTCTCCTCAAAGTAGGTGACTTGGACCTGCCTAGCACAATCCAGAAAATATACTGCAGCCCTCCTCATATTCTTACTAATGATAGAAAAGTAGCCAGACTGACACAGGTAATTACCTGGTTCATTCCTGCCTCTGCCTACTATGCTGTCGTAGCCTGGTGGGGCCCTGGTAAGGCTACTGTCAAACTGGGTGATGCTCTTCTCCCGGCCTAGGGCTACCTCTACCAGGAACATAAAGCCTACCATCTCTTCTCCTTCAAAGCTACCCCAGTGAGGTTGAACTGTGGAAGAGAAGGTATATTATTATTATTTTATGGTATACAGGTGCTCTTTGCCTTAATATGTTGTAATACTTGACATTTCGACTTACGATATTTTGACTTCATGATGGTTCATTGTACAGGAGGACCCTGCATATACAGCATACAAGAGGACCCCGCATATACAGCATACAAGAGGACCCCGCATATACAGCATACAAGAGGACCCCGCATATACAGCATACAAGAGGACAAGGATGTGTGATGTCACCGTGGTTGTTTAATATATTTATAGATGGGGTTGTAAGAGAAGTAAATGCGAGGGTCTTGGCAAGAGGCGTGGAGTTAAAAGATAAAGAATCACACACAAAGTGGGAGTTGTCACAGCTGCTCTTTGCTGATGACACTGTGCTCTTGGGAGATTCTGAAGAGAAGTTGCAGAGATTGGTGGATGAATTTGGTAGGGTGTGCAAAAGAAGAAAATTAAAGGTGAATACAGGAAAGAGTAAGGTTATGAGGATAACAAAAAGATTAGGTGATGAAAGATTGAATATCAGATTGGAGGGAGAGAGTATGGAGGAGGTGAACGTATTCAGATATTTGGGAGTGGACGTGTCAGCGGATGGGTCTATGAAAGATGAGGTGAATCATAGAATTGATGAGGGAAAAAGAGTGAGTGGTGCACTTAGGAGTCTGTGGAGACAAAGAACTTTGTCCTTGGAGGCAAAGAGGGGAATGTATGAGAGTATAGTTTTACCAACGCTCTTATATGGGTGTGAAGCGTGGGTGATGAATGTTGCAGCGAGGAGAAGGCTGGAGGCAGTGGAGATGTCATGTCTGAGGGCAATGTGTGGTGTGAATATAATGCAGAGAATTCGTAGTTTGGAAGTTAGGAGGAGGTGCGGGATTACCAAAACTGTTGTCCAGAGGGCTGAGGAAGGGTTGTTGAGGTGGTTCGGACATGTAGAGAGAATGGAGCGAAACAGAATGACTTCAAGAGTGTATCAGTCTGTAGTGGAAGGAAGGCGGGGTAGGGGTCGGCCTAGGAAAGGTTGGAGGGAGGGGGTAAAGGAGGTTTTGTGTGCGAGGGGCTTGGACTTCCAGCAGGCATGCATGAGCGTGTTTGATAGGAGTGAATGGAGACAAATGGTTTTTAATACTTGACGTGCTGTTGGAGTGTGAGCAAAGTAACATTTATGAAGGGATTCAGGGAAACCGGCAGGCCGGACTTGAGTCCTGGAGATGGGAAGTACAGTGCCTGCACTCTGAAGGAGGGGTGTTAATGTTGCAGTTTAAAAACTGTAGTGTAAAGCACCCTTCTGGCAAGACAGTGATGGAGTGAATGATGGTGAAAGTTTTTCTTTTTCGGGCCACCCTGCCTTGGTGGCCACCCTGCCTTGGTGGGCCACCCTGCCTTGGTGGCCACCCTGCCTTGGTGGCCACCCTGCCTTGGTGGGAATCGGCCAGTGTGATAATAAAAAAAAAAAGAGGACCCCGCATATACAGCATACAAGAGGACCCCGCATATACAGCATACAAGAGGACCCCGCATATACAGCATACAAGAGGACCCCGCATATACAGCATACAAGAGGACCCCGCATATACAGCATACAGGAGGACCCCGCATATACAGCATACAGGAGGACCCCGCATATACAGCATACAGGAGGACCCCGCATATACAGCATACAGGAGGACCCCGCATATACAGCATACAGGAGGACCCCGCATACACAGCATACAGGAGGGCCCCATATATACAGCATATAGGAGGGCCCTGCATATACAGCATATTACAATAATGCAGTAGTTTGCATAACAGTAAAAATTCCAAATGGAAAGCAAGCGTATTATACCTACTCTGAGGAACTTTGTCTCTCAAATGACCTAATGTCTCACCCCGAGGAAATAAAATATGCCATATGCCAGGTAGGGGAGGCCTGGGGACATAACCAGTGAACAGAGGAAATGTTTTAGTGCCAGCAATGTTTACATTCTGGACACTTTAAATGACAATTTTTAATTTTGTGTGAAACTGGCCAAATTTGATCACTTTATTTGGTAGTTAAAAATAGTTGAATGGGCGGTTTCTTGTACTCAGTCGATAGAATGGAAGACATACTAGCAAAATAGGTAAGAGTTTGGGCAATTAGAACAATGGAATTCGCCTAAAATAAGTATCAAAGTGGGCAAAATCACCGATGCATAAATATGGCCCAGATCACTAACTTTGCATCAGCGTATCAAATTTTGTACTCCAGGTGTACCCTGTGGACAAGTTTCAAATCAGGGGTCTGGACCCTAAAAGAGTCAAGAAATTTTCTGCATCTTACCGTAACCAGAGCTTTTGGCATGCTCCGAGGCAAAGTAAATCCCTCGACCGACAAGACCTCCAGAATGGGGCATGATCCTGAGGCCAGCCTTAAGAATGGCCGCCACCACGGCCACATTGGTGCCGTGCCACAGTAACTTGCGGTGCTGGATGTCATCATGGCTGGCAAATCTGCGTGGTATTCCAGCAGTTAAATGAGTTTTTAACTCTCAAGTGAGAAAATTACCGTACAGGTGCTCCTTGACTTAAATTTGCTCAACTTTACAGTGGTGTGGCAGCAATTGCTTTAGATGAAACTTGAGATAATTTGCCAGCATGAAGGCAACAAGTCCCTAACTTGTATTCATTTACTGACTTTTCAATATTGGTACACCTACCATCCGACTTACGACCGAGTTCGGCTCCGAGAAACTGGTCGTAAGTCGAACTTTACTACTGAATATCAACATCACATTTTTGTAATGACTTTATTTTTTTATTTTGGTATTTCATGTTTTACTTTACTTTTTATGCTGTTAGTACTGTATTTTATACTGTAAGGTTTAGGATAAACACTGTGTACAACACACATAGTTGTTTATTTCCCAGAAACTTGGCATAAAAAACACGGTCGTAAGTCGAGTGGTCGTAAGTCGAGCAGGTCATAAGGCGGATGGTAGGTGTATTTAGTTACAGAAATTATTTGTTTATTGACTTATTCATTGATACTAGTTACTTATTTACCTTACATTCATATTAGACACGATATTTTCAACTTGCAATGAGTTCGTCGGACCATAACCCCCATCGTAAGTCAAGGAGCACCTGTATATTACAATAGAACATGTACAATAGGTATACAGACCATAGCTGACATCAATGACATACTGTTATATAGAAAGTCCATTCTTATGCACAGAATTTCCTACAAATTCGGTCAATTTTGTCCCAGGATGTGACGTACATCAGTCCACTAACACTAGGGTACCTATTTTACAACTCTGTGAACATGGACAGCAAGTGTTTTAAGGAAATACATCCTAATGTTTTTCAGCTGTACCAGGGACTGATCCCCAGATCTGTGTGTGAGCTGAGTGCTCTACCAATCCAGCTAACTAATCAATGTCCATTAGAAAGGTAAATGAGTGCAACACCTGGGTATATTGACCCCAAAACATCTTCAAAATAAAGATATCCGGGTATTTCACATGTGTCTAATTCATCAAATATTTTTATGATATAAAAATCATGGTGCAATTATTTTGCAGTGCAATTGAAAAAGCTCATTCAGAATTGAATAACAGCACTATAAAGGACTTTCCGCTGTTCTTCAATCAAATTTACAAAAAAAAAAGAAACTATTATTATTATTAATCAGTGCTGTATGACCCTTGAGGGTTTAGCACTTAGTTTTGACATTATAGGGTAATTGTTAGGAGTTGCACAGCGTGTAGTGGGCGGGAGACAAAACCCACTAATAACGAACAAGAAATTGAACCCCGTACTTTACTGTTTGTAAACATTACTTATCACCGAGTGTGACTGGCCATGGGAAGGTAACACAGTGAAGAAAATACGTTCATCTGAATCGGGCTTAAATTAAACCTTATGTCCTTTATTCTGTTAATTTTATTGGAAAAAACAATTACCATCTGAAGCAAATACCTATACAATACTAGACATTCCCACCCGGCCAATTAATAAACACCATTTTTACTCAGTATTAGTTTCGAGGGATATACATATTGTGTATTTTTATACGTATATACTTCCAGCAGGCGTGCATGAGCGTGTTCAATAGGAGTGAATGGAGACGAATGGTATTTGGGACCTGACGACCTGTTGGAGGGTGAGGGGGGTAATATTTAGTGAAAGGATTCAGGGAAACCGGTTATTTTCATATAGTCGGACTTGAGTCCTGGAAATGGGAAGTACAATGCCTGCACTTTAAAGGAGGGGTTTGGGATATTGGCAGTTTGGAGGGATATGTTGTGTATCTTTATACGTATATGCTTCTAAACTGTTGTGTTCTGAGCATCTCTGCAAAAACTGTGATTGTGTGAGTGAGTTGAAAGTGTTGAATGATGATGAAAGTATTTTCTTTTCAGGGATTTTCTGTTTGGGTCACCCTGGCTCGGTGGGAGATGGCCGACTTGTTAAAAAAAAAAAAATTACTATTTTGGTGTTGGTGGGATCTTAACCCAAGGAACTGAACTTGCTTGTCCCACTTTCTTAAGTTGAACTTGATGGCCAGACATTACCCAGGTGCTGTGTGACCCCTACAGGTTTAATGCTTCCTCATGAATGTTATTACTTGTACTACTACGACTATTGCTGTTACTACTAGTATTATTAATACGTACAACTATTACTACTAATACAAGAATCACTACTACATAACTACTACCACTATTAATACTAGTAATACAACTACTAATACTATTAATACAACTACTACTATTTGTACAACTATTACTGCTAATATAACAACTACTACTATTCCTGTACTACAACTATACTACTACAAGTAGCAGTACAAAGCAGCAACAATAACTGGTCATCACAAAAATAATTACCTGGTTTTTTCACCCTTGCGGTCAACTCTCCAAGCATCAAGTAGCGGCCCCTTGCGTGTGTTTGGACAAGCAGTGGAGTACGTCTGCAACATCTGAAAAAACACAAACAAACACCCATATGAGTTTACGCGTTTTGCGAAGTTAGGCATAGAGATGCGACCATCCAGGATTTGAACCAAGGTCGTCCAGGCAACCTCCTGCTTCCCTTATGTGTCCGGGGTTCTCACTGGACACACAATGTCATGTGACGTGGTGTAGTGGTCTAGGGTGTCCAGAGAGAGTAGCTAGCTTACCAGGAGGCTGCCTAGCTGACGAAGGTTCAAATCCTGGCTGGTCGCAGTATGTTTGCTGTATAAACACTTCCATGGATGCACTTAGCTATATACAGTGGACTCCTACAAATTCACAGTTCTTAACCCTTTCAGGGTCCGTCCCGTAGATCTACGGCTTTATGGTGAGTGTCCAAACCGTAGATCTACGCCATGAGCTCAGCTCACTCTGATAAACTGTGAGTGGTACATTTGGGCCTAGATATGAGAGAATACATCTATGTGGTATGTGTGCACCACATAAAACAGATCCTGCAGCACACTGTGTATAATGAGAGAAAAAAACTGAAATCATGATTTTTTTATTAAAACAGCAACTTTGCAATGTTTTTTCGTATGTTTTTTATAGTTGTATTTGCGATTTCTTGGTCTCATTTGATAGAATGGAAGACATATTACAGAAATAGAGATGATTTTGATTGGTTTTTAGCACTGGAAATGGCTTGAACTGAGCTCAAAGTAGCGGAAATGTTAAATTTTTGCCGATATTCAAGAGTAAACGAACGACCTCACACGTCTAAATACACGTCAGCTGGTGGGTCTAATATACATCACAAATATGGTGATGATATTTATACAAATTATTACAGTATTGCATAGCAGTAAATCTTTATTTTTGGTGTGAATAAAAATTCATTATGTGAATAAAAAATAAAAATGGAATTTATTTGTAAAAGCCTCAAAACATGACTAATGAACAGAGGAAATGTTAGTTTAGTGCCAGGAATGCCTACATTGTTTTATTCTGGACCCTATTTTGAAATTGGAATATTTTGAAACTTTGTGTTAAATTGGCCAAATTAACAATTTCCGATCACTTTATTTTGTAGTTGAAACAGTTGACTTGGCGATTTCTTGTGCTCAATCGATAAAAATAGAAGTAAATACTAGTGAAATAGCTAAGAATTTGGTTGATTGGAATAATGTAATTGGCCTAAAATGGGAGTCAAAGTCGGCAAAATCGCCGATTCGTAAATATCGCTGACACATCAAAATGCGCGAGAGCATAATTTCGTCAATTTTCCACCAAATTTCGTACTTTTTGTTTTATTACCTTCACAAAAAGATTCTCTACGATTTCATAAGAAAAAATAACAAATTTTTTTTTTGAAAATTCTTGGACACTGGTGCGTGACTCCAGATTTGGGCCTTGGACCCTGAAAGGGTTAATTCGCAGATTTTTCATTAGAACCTAACTAGTAATTGTTAGTGTAAATCCGTACAAATTTGCAATTTTTTTTTATTTTGGCTCTTTTTTTTTTTTTTTTTTTTTTTTGGCAATATATAGTTTTAACACTGAATATTAAGAAAAATATAATTCGATAATTTTGTAACACAAATATTAAATGTTGGTGAGTACCCGTATATTTAACCTTATACTGCTTTTACTAAATTAAATTATTACTGTATACGTGTACTTAGTCAACTTATTCCCCAATAATTTTTAAAATTTCTTTTGTCCCCCTTCCCTTTATATAAAGGAACTATACATGCTCTCTGCCAATCCCTAGGTACCTTCACCTCTTTCATACATTTTTTTTTTTTTAACAAGTCAGCCGTCTCCCACCGAAGAAGGGTGACCCAAAAAAGAAAGAAAATCCCCAAAAAGAAAATACTTTCATCATTCAACACTTTCACCTCACTCACACATAATCACTGTTTTTGCAGAGGTGCTCAGTACACAACATTTTAGAAGTATATACATATAAAGATACACAACATATCCTCCAAACTGCCAATTCTCAAACCCCTTTCCCTTTAGAGTGCAGGCATTTTTACTTCCCATTTCCGGACTCAAGTCCCCGGGTATATAAAAATAAACGGTTTCCCTGAATCCCTTCACTAAATATTACCCTGCTCACACTCCAACAGATCGTCAGGTCCCAAATACCATTCATCTCCATTCACTAATATTAAACATGCTTGCGCACGCCTGCTGGAAGTCCAAGTCCCTCGCCCACAAAACCTCCCTTACCACTTCCTTCCAACCTTTTCGAGGACGACCCCTACCCCGCCTTCCTTCCCCTACAGATTTAAACGCTCTCCGTGTCATTATACTTTGATCCATTCTCTCTAAATGACCAAACCACCTCAACAACCCCTCTTCAGCCCTCTGACTAATACTTTTATTAACTCCACACCTTCTAATTTCCACACTCCAAATTTTCTGCATAATATTTGCACCACACATTGCCCTTAGACAGGACATCTCTGCTGCATTCACAACCCTATCTTCACACCCATATAAGAGTGTTGGTACTACTATACTTTCATACATTCCCTTCTTTGCCTCCACAGATAACGTTTTTTGTCTCCACATATACCTCAATGCACCACTCACCTTTTTTCCCTCATCAATTCTATGATTAACCTCATCCATCATAAATCCATCTGCTGACACATCAACTCCCAAGTATCTGAAAACATTCACTTCTTCCATACTCCTCCTCCCCAATTTGATATCCAATTTTTCTTTATCTAAATCATTTGATACCCTCATCACCTTACTCTTTTCTGTGTTCACTTTCAACTTTCTACCTTTACACACACTCCCAAACTCGTCCACTAACCTTTGCAATTTTTCTTCAGAATCTCCCATAAGCACAGTATCATCAGCAAAAAGTAACTGTGTCAATTCCCATTTTGCATTTGATTCCCCATAATTTAATCCCACCCCTCTCCCGAACACTATATCCCCTCCTGCTTTTAATATTTCTGTCATGATCCTGTCAGTTCCAGCTGCTTTACCCCCTTTCATTCTACTTAATGCTTCATGCACCTCCCTCACTCGCATCATTTCCTTAGATTCTCATTGATTTGTAGATTTATGGCTTAATTCTTTTTTGCTGTGCTTATTCGGCAGTAAGTGGCCTGCTTTTTTATTCTTGGGCCTAATTTGCCAGTTTGTCCTATGCAGCATTGACAATAGTGTTGAGACAATAACAGACGTCACTGTACCTTAAACTCCTCACTTTTCTTATCCAGCAAGGATAATACACATTCCAGCATCTCATACTTCTCAAGTAATGGATGTATATCCTTCTTGCTCTGAAAAGTAATAAACTATATTATATAAAATTATTGTATGGACTAAGTTATCATTGGACTAACTTATCATTGTTCAGACTACTTAATTATCCTGGCTATGGGCCCGCTGACAAGCTCTGCCTCACAACGCTAAGGGCCGGGTTTGATCCCCGGCGATGGTGAAAAACATTGGGCATTCCTTACCCGTGTCCATGTTCACCATCAAATTTAAAAAAGGTCCTGGGTGTTAGTAGACTTTGGTGTGAGTTGCATCCTGGGGACAAAACTGACATAATTTGTGGGAAATGCTCAGTATAGAAAGGGGCTTTCTATATAGTAGCATGTCACTGATGTAAGCAATGGTCTGTATAACAAGGAACTTACTATATTGCAGTATGTCACTGATGTCAGCTATGGTCTGTATAACAAGGGACTTTCTATAAAGCAATATGTCACTGATGTCAGCTATAATCTGTATACCTTGTACATGTACTTGTAGAAATAGATATTATTATTATCATTGTAGTCAATACTGTAGCTTTGCTTATAGTGAACATTAACTTTATACTGTACCTTATCCTTCTGTAGACTCTGGGTTAGTTCAATATCACTTAGTGTCAACATAACTTCCTTCTTCTCCTGTACCACACTGTCGTCAGCGATGACTGGCGGTACACTGCGACCAAAGTTGTGTGGTACCAAGGTGAAGAACTTGGATGATAACTCCATCAGAACCTTACGTGGCTGTAAGAACAATGTTCAGGTTGTTATATAACATTGTTAGTGTGGTTGTAAGAACAATGTTCAGGTTATATAACATTGTTAGTGTGGTTGTAAGAACAATGTTCAGGTTGTTATATAACATTGTTAGTGTGGTTGTAAGAACAATGTTCAGGGTGTTATATAACACCATTGTATATAGTGGAACTTTATAAGAGAACTGACCATATATAGAGCTTTATAAGAGCTGACATAGAGCTCTATAAGTGAGCTTTATCATATACAATCACCTTGTTCTTCTTGATGGCTTCTTCAATGTCCATTAGAGCTTCGAGTCCCTTAGCAATCTGCTGCTTACTGAGCTTTCCCAGCGGCATTTTCTTCACGTCTGTAAAGTGACGACAGGTTAGAGCTTTGGAAATAATTGACGTTTGTGGGAATAAGTGAAGGAATTTATTAATTTAGTAGAGCTTGGCTTAGTATATCTTTCTTTTTATGTAGCTTGATAAAATAGAGGTTTGTTTAATCCCACAACATTAGTCTAACAATAATTCCACAATACATGTATTAATCTCACAATATTGACCCACCTTTATATGAGATATTAATCCTACAATACAACAATGATCCTATAATAATCTCACAATACTGACCCAGCTTCATGTCACAATCCTACAATACTGACCCAGCTTCATGTCAGACAATCCTACAATACTGACCCAGCTTCATGTCAGATAATCCTACAATACTGACCCAGCTTCATGTCAGACAATCCTACAATAATCCTACAATACTGACCCAGCTTCATGTCAGACAATCCTACAATACTGACCCAGCTTCATGTCAGACAAACCTACAATACTGACCCAGCTTCATGTCAGACAATCCTACAATACTGATCCAGCTTCATGTCAGACAATCCTACAATAATCCTACAATACTGACCCAGCTTCATGTCAGACAATCCTACAATAATCCTACAATACTGACCCAGCTTCATGTCACAGTCCTACAATACTGACCCAGCTTCATGTCAGACAATCCTACAATAATCCTACAATACTGACCCAGCTTCATGTCAGACAATCCTACAATACTGACCCAGCTTCATGTCAGACAATCCTACAATACTGACCCAGCTTTATTCAGACAACCTACAATACGAGACCCAGTTCATGTCAGACAATCCTACAATACTGACCCAGCTTCATGTCAGACAATCCTACAATACTGACCCAGCTTCATGTCAGACAATCCTACAATACTGACCCAGCTTCATGTCAGACAATCCTACAATACTGACCCAGCTTCATGTCAGACAATCCTACAATACTGACCCAGCTTCATGTCAGACAATCCTACAATACTGACCCAGCTTCATGTCAGACAATCCTACAATAATCCTACAATACTGACCCAGCTTCATGTCAGACAAACCTACAATACTGACCCAGTTTTATGTCAGACAATCCTACAATAATCCTACAATACTGACCCAGTTTTGTCAGACAATCCTACAATACTGACCCAGCTTCATGTCAGACAATCCTACAATACTGACCCAGCTTCATGTCAGACAATCCTACAATACTGACCCAGCTTCATGTCAGACAATCTACAATTTCTGACCCCAGCTTCATGTCAGACATCCTACAATACTGACCCAGCTTCATGTCAGACAATCCTACAATACTGACCCAGCTTCATGTCAGACAATCCTACAATACTGACCCAGCTTCATGTCAGACAATCCTACAATACTGACCCAGCTTCATGTCAGACAATCCTACAATACTGACCCAGCTTCATGTCAGACAATCCTACAATACTGACCCAGCTTCATGTCAGACAATCCTACAATACTGACCCAGCTTCATGTCAGACAATCCTACAATACTGACCCAGGGTTCATGTCAGACAATCCTACAATACTGACCGCTTCATGTCAGGGCAATCCCACAATACTGACCCAGCTTCATGTCAGACAATCCTACAATACTGACCCAGCTTCATGTCAGACAATCCTACAATACTGATCCAGCTTCATGTCAGACAATCCTACAATACTCACCCAGCTTCATGTGAGACATCTGGTTGACGAACATGTCATCAGAGAAGATGAGTTTGATCATGAGCTGTGTCCTATATGGCAGTGAACATGACCCAGTGAAGGTGACTAGCTGCCTGCTGGGCTCAACACCATCTACTGCATCATTATCCTCCTCCTCATCATCATCATCTTCATCTGTGAGAAATGAAGGTGAAATGAGTAGTCATGTTCACTGTAAATTTCCCACCAGAACTCGAGTCCTGGTAACCTGCAGGATGTCCAAGCCCATACCACCTAAAACCACCTTCAGAGGGTCATCATCATCTGTTGAAAATGAAGGGAAAATTAGTAGTCATATTCACTGTGATGTTCTTCACCTCCAGGACTCAAGTCCTGGTAAAGCTTTACACAGCTTTATTGTGTCGTGTGGTGCACACAGACCTTTATCAAGGTGCAACTTAGTAAAGCTCTGTGTAGAGCTTTATCAGGGGATTTAATACCAATTTAAGACCAATTTTAATACCAATTTAAGGCCAGTTTTACTATCAATTTTAATACCTATACACAAATAACCCGTAACAAAGTCACAGTGTGACTTTGTAAATGGTCCAAGTCGGACAGAAACATTGTCGTAAGCTCCTCTCTCCTATGTGTGGGTTACAGTGGACCCCCGGATAACAATCACCTCCCAACTCCACCAATTATGTAAGTTTATTTTTGTAAGTGCTTTTGTAGGTGTATTTTTAGGGGTCTGAAATGGACTAATCTAATTCACAATATTTCTTATGGGAACAAATTCGGTCTATAACGGCACCCAAACAGACTTCTGGATTGAAATAATATCGTTATGCGGGGTCCACTGTACTTGTGTATCATTCCAGTCACGGTATTGTTTTTTTTTTTTTTTTTTTTTTTTTTTTTGTTATTTAGTACCTATTTTACTACCAAATTAAGACCAATTTTACTACCAATTTAAAACCAATTTTAATACCTATTTCACTACCAATTTAGGGTCATTTTACTTACCAATTTCAATTAATGTGTATTTTCCGGGGTGTGGAGTGAAGTTGTCTCGGTTGTCCCAGTCGTTCTTGGTCTTGTCCTTGAACTTCTTCTTAAAGGACTTTATGGCTGCCTCCACCTCCTTGGAACAGTCACTGTTAGACTGACCTTCTTCACCCTGTGTATAACACCTGTATGATAATTGTGACAAATAACACCTGTATAACTGTAAGATCTGTATGATAACACCTGCACAAGAACTGTGACATCTGTATAACTGTAGCATATGTGTGACTGACACCTGTATGATAACTGTAACCTCTGTATGATTACTGTTATATTAGTAAACTATACTGTAACCTGTGTATAACTGCTGTTATATTAGCAAACCACCCTTGGGGTATCCCCATGACCATACCATAACTCACCACGCGTCCCCATCGCGTGAAGCAGATGTAGCGCCCAGCATCCTCATTCACCTGGATGATGTAGAACTTATTGTTGTTGTTGCCTATGTTGGTCTGGTTAAGCATGCAGGCGTAGTCCTCATACACACTGGCCTACAGGGAAAACATGTGAATAGGTTGTATGATTATCATATTAAAGCACTAAACCTGCTGGGGTGATACAGCAGGGTTAACAAGATGTAGTAGATTTATAATAGTGGAATATACAGGAGGACCCCGCATATACAGCATACAGGAGGACCCCGCATATACAGCATACAGGAGGACCCCGCATATACAGCATACAGGAGGGCTCCGCATATACAGCATACAGGAGGACCCCGCATATACAGCATACAGGAGGACCCCGCATATACAGCATACAGGAGGGCTCCGCATATACAGCAGTGCTCCGCATATACAGCAGTGCTCCGCATATACAGCAGTGCTCCGCATATACAGCAGTGCTCCACATATACAGCACCCTCTTTTGTAACCCACGTTTTCATATCATTAATATTATTATTACAGATAGAAGGTTGATAGTCACATTTGTGAAGGATCTAAGAAGAACTTGATCCGGCTTGATCTTCCTCGGCTTATTAAGCTGACTAGCTGACTTCTTTGCTTCCTGTATAGCTTTCCGAAGCTTGGTGTTGGTACTGTCTTCCCGCTGAAGTTTAGCTGGCGGTTCTCTGTTAGAGCAGATAAGATAAAGCTTTGTTACTCAGGAAAGTTACTATCAAGATAGTACAGTATCACTATCTTGGTATAGTTACAATTGAGAGTATCTTTACGAGAAAGATACTATCAAGATAGCACAGTATTACCACTATCTTTAACTAGATATAGTTACAAATGATACTTAAAATTATCTTTATGAGATATACTTCTAAGATACAACTGTAACTAAAGTATCTTTAATTATTATTAATGGTATTGTCATTATTGGTATTATGGGTATTACTATTAGCATTATTATTATTATTATTATTATTATAGGAGATATGTGCTTGATAGATAGTAAGGACTGATGAGTGTGAAGGTAGAATTGAACTCTAGCTCCTGGGATCAAGAGTACTCCTTACCCATCATCATCAGTCTTGCGCTTGGCAGCAGCCTTCCTACCACGACCTCTGCCCCGAGCCATCTGTTGGTAGTAGTAATAGTAGTATTAGCAGTAGTAGTAGTAATAGTAGTAGTAGTAATAGCAGTATTAGTAGCAGTGGCTAGTTAGTGTACCTCATATCCATCCTGTGGATGGTAGTGGCTAGTTTATTGTGCACCTCATATCCATCCTGTGGATGGTAGTGGCTAGTTTATTGTGCACCTCATATCCATCCTGTGGATGGTAGTGGCTAGTTTATTGTGTACCTCATATCCATCCTGTGGATGGTAGTGGCTAGTTTATTGTGCACCTCATATCCATCCTGTGGATGTAGTGGCTAGTTTATTGTGTACCTCATATCCATCCTGTGGATGGTAGTGGCTAGTTTATTGTGTACCTCATATCCATCCTGTGGATGGTAGTGGCTAGTTTATTGTGTACCTCATATCCATCCTGTGGATGGTAGTGGCTAGTTTATTGTGCACCTCATATCCATCCTGTGGATGGTAGTGGCTAGTTTATTGTGTACCTCATATCCATCCTGTGGATGGTAGTGGCTAGTTTATTGTGTACCTCATATCCATCTGTGGATGGTAGTGGCTAGTTTATTGTGTACCTCATATCCATCCTGTGGATGGTAGTGGCTAGTTTATTGTGCACCTCATATCCATCCTGTGGATGGTAGTGGCTAGTTTATTGTGCACCTCATATCCATCCTGTGGATGGTAGTGGCTAGTTAATTGTGCACCTCATATCCATTTTGTGGATGGTAGTGGCTAGTTTATTGTGTACCTCATACCCATCCTGTGGATTGGATGGTAGTGGCTAGTTAATTGTGCACCTCATATCCATCCTGTGGATGGTAGTGGCTAGTTTATTGTGTACCTCATATCCATCCTGTGGATGGTAGTGGCTAGTTTATTGTGTACCTCATATCCATCCTGTGGATGGTAGTGGCTTGTTTATTGTGTACCTCATATCCATCCTGTGGATGGTAGTGGCTAGTTTATTGTGTACCTCATATCCATCCTGTGGATGGTATTGGCTAGTTTATTGTGTACCTCATATCCATCCTGTGGATTGTAGTGGCTAGTTTATTGTGTACCTCACATCCATCCTGTGGATGGTAGTGGCTAGTTTATTGTGTACATCATATCCATCCTGTGGATGGTAGTGGCTAGTTTATTGTGCACCTCATATCCATCCTGTGGATGCTAATGGTTAATTTGTGTATCTCATATCCATCCTGTGGATGGTAGTGGCTAGTTTATTTTGTACCTCATATCCATCCTGTGGATGGTGGTGGCTAGTTTATTGTGCAAGTCATATCCATCCTGTGGATGGTAGTGGCTAGTTTATTGTGTACCTCATATCCATCCTGTGGATGGTAGTGGCTAGTTTATTGTGTACCTCATATCCATCCTGTGGATGGTAGTGGCTAGTTTATTGTGTACCTCATATCCATCCTGTGGATGGTAGTGGCTAGTTTATTGTGCACCTCATATCCATCCTGTGGATGCTAGTGGTTAGTTTGTGTATCTCATATCCATCCTGTGGATGGTAGTGGCTAGTTTATTTTGTACCTCATATCCATCCTGTGGATGGTGGTGGCTAGTTTATTGTGCACCTCATATCCATCCTGTGGATGGTAGTGGCTAGTTTATTGTGTATCTCATATCCATCCTGTGGATGGTAGTGGCTAGTTTATTGTGCAAGTCATATCCATCCTGTGGATGGTAGTGGCCAGTTTATTGTGTACCTCATATCCATCCTGTGGATGATAGTGGCTAGTTTATTGTGTACCTCATATCCATCCTGTGGATGATAGTGGCTAGTTAATTGTGCACCTCATATCCATCCTGTTGATGGTAGTGGCTAGTTTGTGTACCTCATATCCATCCTGTAGATGGTAGTGGCTAGTTTATTGTGTACCTCATATCCATCCTGTGGATGGCAGTGGCTGGTTTGTGTACCTCATATCCATCCTGTGGATGGTAGTGGCTAGTTTGTGTACCTCATATCCATCCTGTAGATGGTAGTGGCTAGTTTATTGTGTACCTCATATCCATCCTGTGGATGGTAGTGGCTAGTTTATTGTGTACCCGATATCCACCCTGTGGATGGTAGTGGCTAGTTTATTGTGTACCTCATATCCATCCTGTGGATGGTAGTGGCTAGTTTATTGTGTACCTCATATCCATCCTGTGGATGGTAGTGCTAGTTTATTGTGTACCTCATATCCATTCTGTGGATGGTAGTGGCTAGTTTATTGTGTACCTCATATCCATCCTGTGGATGCTAGTGGCTAGTTTGTGTACCTCATATCCATCCTGTAGATGGTAGTGGCTAGTTTATTGTGTACCTCATATCCATCCTGTGGATGGTATTGGGTAGTTTATTGTGTGCCTCATATCCATCCTGTGGATGGTAGTGGCTAGTTTATTGTGTGCCTCATATCCATCCTGTGGATGGTAGTGGGTAGTTTATTGTGTACCCGATATCCATCCTGTGGATGGTAGTGGCTAGTTTATTGTGTACCTCATATCCATCCTCTGGATGGTAGTGGCTAGTTTATTGTGTACCTCATATCCATTCTGTGGATGGTAGTGGCTAGTTTATTGTGTACCTCATATCCATCCTGTGGATGGTAGTGGCTAGTTTATTGTGTACCTCATATCCATCCTGTGGATGGTAGTGGCTAGTTTATTGTGTACCTCATATCCATCCTGTGGATGGTAGTGGCTAGTTTATTGTGTACCTCATATCCATCCTGTGGATGGTAGTGGCTAGTTTATTGTGTACCTCATATCCATCCTGTGGATGGTAGTGGCTAGTTTATTGTGTACCTCATATCCATCCTGTGGATGGTAGTGGCTAGTTTATTGTGTACCTCATATCCATCCTGTGGATGGTAGTGGCTAGTTTATTGTGTACCTCATATCCATCCTGTGGATGGTAGTGGCTAGTTTATTGTGCACCTCATATCCATCCTGTGGATGGTAGTGGCTAGTTTATTGTGTACCTCATATCCATCCTGTGGATGGTAGCGCAAGATCATATGGATACACAATAGGCCTAGGAACTAGGCCACAAAAAGGTTAAACAGGAGTACATTTAGATTTATATAGAGAGCTGACATATTATGTATATATATCTGATATCTTCGTTCATAAGATATCTTGGTATATTACATACATTATTTTGCTGGTCCTGTATTGTTCAGTAACTGATGTATATTGTTCAGTGATGTATATTGTTCAGTGATGTATATTGTTCAGTGATGTATATTGTTCAGTGATGTATATTGTTCAGTGATGTATATTGTTCAGTGATGTATATTGTTCAGTGATGTATATTGTTCAGTGATGTATATTGTTCAGTGATGTATATTGTTCAGTGATGTATATTGTTCAGTAACATGTGTATAGTCATCAACATTTTCACTATTAAAATTCATTGTAACATTAACATTAATGTTATAACTCACATTCTAACATTAATATTACTATTATAACTCATTCTAGCATTAACATCAGAAATTTCAGTTATTTTAACCAGTAAATATTAGACATCCATAAGTGTGCCTTCTGGGTGTCAAAATAACTGCTGCCTTAAACCATACTTAAACCCTATTAAACCCTGTGTTAAACATTGTATTAAACCGTGTTAAAACCTGTGCTAAACCCTGTGTTGAACTATGTATTAAACCCTGTGTTGGACTATATATTAAACCCTGTGTTGAACTATATGTTAAACCCTGTGTTGAACTATATGTTAAACCCTGTGTTGAACTATGTATTAAACCCTGTGTTGGACTATATATTAAACCCTCTGTTGAACTATGTATTAAACCCTGTGTTGAACTATATGTTAAACCCTGTGTTGAACTATATGTTAAACCCTGTGTTGAACTATATGTTAAACCCTGTGTTGAACTATGTATTAAACCCCGTGTTGAACTATATGTTAAACCCTGTGTTGAACTATGTATTAAACCTGTGTTGAACTATGTATTAAACCCTGTGTTGAACTATATGTTAAACCCTGTGTTGAACTATGTATTAAACCCTGTGTTGAACTATATGTTAAACCCTGTGTTGAACTATGTATTAAACCCTGTGTTGAACTATATGTTAAACCCTGTGTTGAACTATGTATTAAACCCTGTGTTGAACTATATGTAAACCCTGTGTTGAACTATGTATTAAACCCTTGTTGAACTATGTATTAAACCCTGTGTTGGACTATGTATTAAACCCTGTGTTGAACTATGTATTAAACCCTGTGTTGAACTATGTATTAAACCCTGTGTTGGACTATGTATTAAACCCTGTGTTGAACTATGTATTAAACCCTGTGTTGAACTATGTATTAAACCCTGTGTTGAACTATATGTTAAACCCTGTGTTGAACTATGTATTAAACCCTGTGTTGAACTATGTATTAAACCCTGTGTTGGACTATGTATTAAACCCTGTGTTGAACTATGTATTAAACCCTGTGTTGAACTATGTATTAAACCTGTGTTGAACTATGTATTAAACCCTGTGTTGAACTATATGTTAAACCCTGTGTTGAACTATGTATTAAACCCTGTGTTGAACTATATGTTAAACCCTGTGTTGAACTATGTATTAAACCCTGTGTTGAAACTATATGTTAAACCCTGTGTTGAACTATGTATTAAACCCTGTGTTGAACTATATGTTAAACCCTGTGTTGAACTATGTATTAAACCCTGTGTTGAACTATGTATTAAACCCTGTGTTGGACTATGTATTAAACCCTGTGTTGAACTATGTATTAAACCCTGTGTTGAACTATGTATTAAACCCTGTGTTGGACTATGTATTAAACCCTGTGTTGAACTATGTATTAAACCCTGTGTTGAACTATGTATTAAACCCTGTGTTGAACTATATGTTAAACCCTGTGTTGAACTATGTATTAAACCCTGTGTTGAACTATGTATTAAACCCTGTGTTGGACTATGTATTAAACCCTGTGTTGAACTATGTATTAAACCCTGTGTTGAACTATGT